TCTCGGTCGGACCGATCAGACCGACCAATCCGGTCCAAATTTCAAAACACTAACTACAACATCCGTTTTGTAGAAGAAAGATTTTTTCTTCCGATATTTATATATGTTTTTTCATAATTAATTCCACAAGCATCCTTTGTTGTTGACTTGGTATGACTATGACATCATGGATGATGATTCTGGTATAAAATTATTAGCAATGTCATTCTCATAACAAGTCTTATAATTTTATGTGAAATTTGTGAGTTTGCATTATGAAAATAAAGATAAAAATTATCACACACGAATTGTGAGAAATTGGTAATAAAAGTTCCCAAACATATTAAAGTTGTCATCTATTTGGGTTGAGAGGAGGGGTGGGAAAAATTTTCTTCTATTTGGCTATCAAAAGACTTGGAGGGAAAAGGAGCGGAAGAAAGGCCTTTATTTTTGTCTTTTTAATTAATTAATTAATTTATTCAGATAAAAAGAGTGAACCAAAATGAAAAGATACAACATCCTTTCATTCCCCTTCCCTCTATTCTTCTTAAATAAAACATATTTTTAAGGCATAAATGAATTAGAAGTGGGAATTAGGAGTAATGTTTTCCATACGTTAGATTACTAATGTCACACATCTTCAAAACATTATATTTTAATTAATATTTTTAAAATCAATTATTGGATTCAAAATTCTAATCATGTTAATCATGCATTTTGATTTTTAAATCAATCTAACATCTCTAATTCATTTGTTTATTACACAAAATTTAAAATTCTAAATATTTGTCAATAAATAAAGTTTCTCTTATTAAAGGATTATAAATGTTAAATTAATTTAAAATTTGACATATATAATCTATATAAATAAAATATTTAATCAAAAGTTAGTTTTTGAAAATATTAATTAGAAGGTAAGTTTTTAAGTAAAACATCCAAAAAATATTTGGGAGATGTACACTACACTAATATCATATATATATATATATATATATGAGGTTAGTATTTATCCGTTTTATCTCTTAAATATTAAAAAGAAAATTATTTTTAAACTATATCGCTTTAATAAAGTATCACAAAAAAAGACTAAAAACATTGTAAATCATGCTTTAAAAATAGGATATTTAGTCTTTTTAATAAGAATTTATTAAAATGATATAGTTTTAAAATGATTTTCCTTATAATATTTAAAAAATAAGGTAGATAAGTATTATTTCATATATATATAGATCATGCATGAATATCAATCCAATTTCATGGAGTCTCAATTGAAAAACATCATCTTTTAATGAATATTTTGAAAAATTAACCATTCTACCAAATGATCTATATTATGTAGATTATTTATGCTAATTTTTAAGTTGATCTAAGATCTATAATCATTCTATCAAAAAACCATATTTTGCAACATATATTTGACATCGCTAAATTTTGTACATTCAATGAACTAAATAGATATATTTAATTAATTTGAAAATTGATATATATGATTTATATAAATATAACATTAAATTTAACAATTTGTTTTTCAAAATATTCATTTCATGATGATGTTTTTAAATGGACACTCTATGGAATTTAGACTAATATGCACTATTCTTTTTCACTTTCTGTCTCTATTATATATATATTTATATATTTATCAATCAAATCTCTAAAAAATTAAGAGAAAAACATCACAAAACTATATTATTTCAATAAAGCCCCATAGAAAAAAAGAAAAAAAGAGAAAGACCAAAATTTCATTCTCATTTTAAGATGTATTATTTTAATTTTTTTAATGAGAGTTTATTGAAATAATATAATTTTAAAGTGTCTTTCTTTTTATTTTTCAGAGATCTGACTAATAAACACTTTCCCCATACCTGCATACAGACTTTTACCTATGAATGAATTATTAAAAGGGTATTTGTTTTAATATTTTAAAACTAATTATTAACTATTGGTTCTAATTAAACAAATTAAATAATTTAAATTATAAGTAACAAAAATTATCTACAATCAAACATTAACTATCAACTAACAATTGCATTTTAACAACTTATCTAAGCATTTGAATAAAAAAGTTTGTGAGGATGATTCTTTTTC